AAGTCTGAGCCTCTAATACATGAGTATCAACCTACTACATATCGTTCTCTTGAAATACGGAAATAAATCAAATAAGATAGAAGGAAGATCAGGACTGCGAACGTCAAATGCAGCTACCTTGAAACTTCCAAATATGATGCTAGGCAGAGAAGTCCTCACACAGCCTCAGGTGTACCTGGATCTGCACGCAAGGTGCAGGGAGTAATGTGAGTACTCCGACCCAGTGAGTAATAAACATAAATAAAGGCTGAGAATAAGAAATCCTGAATAGGCACAAAGTAATTCTATAAATACAGCAACTTGAACCCAGTAGTATAAAATCAGTAAAATTAGTGAAAACAATTATGGAAAATCCCACAACAGATAAATAATTAAATGACAATCAAATATGCAATGCAACACATAGACCGGTACTCTCCAGTACACGCTGCGACGTGCAGCCCGCTCCATTTATTTATCGTCGACGGCGCTCACTGGGGGTGTGCAGACTCTAGGAGGGGCCCCTTACGGCCCAAGCGCAATAATAAGACATCTCGTGGCATCAACTAGGCCCCTGGCCTCATATCAATATCAATATAGTACCGCTGCGGCGTGCAGCCCGATCCCATACTCAGTCCAAAATCACATAAGCCCTTCGGCACAACAATATAGAAATATTCAGCCCAAACTTCCTTTAAAAATATATTAATTAAGTTTCAAGCGAGAGAAAAGGTGGCTGAGTTTACAAAACAATATTTAAAAACCAGGACTGAGTTCATTAATATGTAGAAAATGGTATGAAACCAGTAATAACAATCCTCGAAGGATTAAATCAACTGGCACGAAGCCCAAATATAGCAAGCAGCTCAATTTAAAATAATAATAAATGAATTTCAGTCAAATACGCAGTATATTCATCTACTGGGGTGGACCAAGTCACAATCCCCAACGGTGCTCTACCCACGCTCGCTACCCGGCGTGCAAGTCACCTCAGTATAGCACTACGATGTGCAAACACGGGGTTTCAAACCCTCAGAACAGCATTTACATCTATTACTCACCTCAAGCCGGCCAAAATTCTAGCTCGCTATGCCCTTGCCTCTCAAATCGACCTCCTCGCACGTCGAATCTGACGAAAACCACAACGAATACGTCACATTATGCTATAGGATCAATACCCAATCGAAAATAATCAAAAAATATCAATAATCCCGAAATTGACAAAACCCGAGCCCCGGGCCTACTTCTCGAAACTTAGAAATTTTTACAGAAAAGTGTTCTTCATCTTCTCCCGATTCCGTACATATAAAGAACACCAAAATCGGAGTCCGTTTGACCCCTCAAATCGACCCCTAAAGGTCTCATAATCTCAGGCCCCAAAATTCTATTTTTCTACTGTTTTTCATGAATTAAAGGCTGGGATTATGGTCTATAATCACCCATAAACGAGTTTTAATAATCAAATCACTTATCTCTGTGATACCCACTGATTTTCTCTCTTAAAAATCGCCTCAGAAGCTTCTTCCCGTTCAAAAATTGGAAGAAAACTCGACCTGCTCATTATAGGTATACTGTTCACGCATTTTACTGATCCCAATGGATTCCTTGTGAAATTCTAATGAATTTAGGCTTTTGAATCACTCAATTTGACCTTATAATGAAGGAGATATGTAGGTTTTAAGATTTGCAAATAGTGCAGATTTGTAATACGCCGTCAGGGGCAATTTCGTCATTAACTTGAAAATCTGGGCAACCTTGGTAAAATGGCCATAAAATCCTCATACGATGTCCAAATTCGACGATTCTTTTTGCTACGGGTCCGTAATTACGATACGGATCTAATGCTTCATTCAAAACAATAATCGGAGCTCATTTGTTCAATATGATATCATTAATGCTTGAAGAAACGACGTCAAAGCATAAGAAAAACGAGCACGACGCAGCCCAAACCTATCCGAAACTCACCCGAGCTCCTTGGGACCGCATACGATCATACTAACACGTCACATATGATCATTCAAACTTATTTGCACTCTCTAAACACTAAAACTAACATCAAAACACCAAATTTACATCGGATTCAAGCCTAAGTTCTTCTAAAACTTCCGAAACACGCATTTGATCAAAACCCCAACCAAATCACCTCCGAATAACCTGAAATTTTGCACACACATCCCAAATCACCTAACGAAGCTACAGCAACTCTCGGAATTCCATTCCGACCCTCGGATAAAAATCTCACCTATCAACCGGAATTCGCCAAAATACTAACTTCGCCAATTCAAGCCTAATTCTACACCGGACCTCCAAAATCACTTCCGATCACACTTCTAAGTCACAAATCATCCCCCGAAGCTAACCGAATCGTCGGAATCCTCATCCGAGCCCTCTAACTCATAGGTCAACATCCGGTTGACTTTTCCAAAACAAGCCTTCCTTAAAGAGACTAAGTGTCTCATTTCCTTCCAAAAATTAACCCAATTCAACTCGTTCACACAAGACACTGATAATAAAGCATAACGAAGCAGGAAATGGGGGAAACGGAGCGGTTCTCATGAGACGACGGGTCGGGTCGTCACAGTAGTTTAGGACCCACATCATGCCTAATTTGAAAGTATCTCTTATTTAAATTGCCACTATGATCATTCATGATATGCTACAGACTTAATGGAAATATGAAGTGAACGTATGAACTTGCTAAGCCTTGGTAAGAGCTTCCTGGTATATGTATGAATCTTCGTGTGCATTCTTGATATTTTCTTGATATATATGGATCGGGCCGATCGCCTCGGTGAGAATAGATGCATCTATGGTTCGTGCCGTTCGACCCTCGGTAGTGCACATCTTAGTTCTGTTGGAACGGGCCGTCGACCTCGGTGTGATTGCATAGGATATATATATATATATATATATATGTATATATATGTATATATATATGCTGATACTTGAACATGACATGCCTACTTGCTTAGAAATTGAAAATGAAAAAAATGGAAACTGAAATAAGGACAAGAACATGATTATTGCTCTTTGTTATAACTTGTTGAATATTGGTGACTTTCATGCTTAGAATAGCATAATTATATTATATTATCTTGACCCTAGTGAGTATCAAGTCGACCTCTCGTCTCTACTTCTTCGAGATTAGGCGGGATACTCACTGGGTACATATTGTTTATGTACTCATGCTACGCTTCTGTACTTAAATGTACAGGGTCTGAGGCAGGTGGATCCGGTTATTTCTCTGGTGCGCATTCGTGAGCAGGCTTGGGACTTCTACGGTGAGCTGCTTTCCTTCCATGTCGATCCGCAACCGAAGAAGTTTTTCTTTTGTATTGTTATTTTCTGTCTATTCGGATCCAGACAGTAGGGTAGTGTGGTATTCTTTTGGATGTATATTCTACTAGTTGCCCGTAGCTTGTGACACCAGGTTCTGGCACACACTTTGGTAGACGATCATTTTTGGGTTGTGTAGTCATATTATTACAGTATTCAGTTCTTCTGGTTTAAATTCCACTTTGAGTGTTTATTTCACTTATTTTTAATTAAAAGCAACATAGGTATTTAGAAATGTTTCCGCAAATGGCTTGCCTGACAAGGGTGTCAGGCGCCCTCATGACCTATTGTGAAAATGGGTCGTGACAATTGGTCACCATTTTTTTTAACTTAACCATCCCATTCTTCAAATTTATCAATTAATATTACGGTCTAAGCAGCAATGCTCAAGGAAGCAGGGTGCAACAACTAGGGATTCAACAAAAGGATCAAGGCAAAACAAAAGGCTACATGCTCAAAGGGCTAACTAGTGGTACAATATCTGAAAAAGCAAAAATTCACAAGACATATCAAAGAAAGCCTATTATCATCTTCTAAACAGAGCAACACTTTTATTTCGCTTCAATATCATGCAGGGCAAGTTCTAGACTAAGATGCAAAATATGGAATATATGTAAGAAATCCTCACCCCACATGGAACAAGTATCAATCAAGATGGATCAATTCCACTCAAAGACATACAGGATCATCGCGAACCACAAAATAAGAATAAGTTATATACAGAGTCACAACTCTGAGTTTGGGTGTCAGAAAGTCTGCTATTTATTCATTACTCAAGCACTCAGAGGAAAGTACGACTCAAGCTTAGGCCTAAATATGCTAGTATCAAACAAGTAACGATAGTTTTTTTTTCTTCTCCCTCTTTTACTAGTCCTAAAAAAAATCTAATCCTAAAAATAAAAAAATTTACCCGGTTCAAGATACATCCCGTGGAAAAGAACCGATGCACAAAGAAAAACCAAGGGGGATTATTATCTAACTAAAACTAACTAGAAACAACAATTAAATTTTTTTTTGATTTTTTTTATTTGACCTTAATCCCTCAAGAAACCTGTCCACAAAATCCATCGTCGGAAAAAGTCCCAATTTTCTAAAAAAATTTCTTTTTTCATTTTTTTTCGTTTTTTTAATTTTATTTCTTAACACAAATAACTACTCTAAGAAAAAGTACTACAACAAATCTAGGATAGCATAGAAAATCACCCAGACAATCTCCTCACCCCACACTTAAAACTGTGCAATGTCCTCAATGCACTGAAAATAACAAGAGGGTAAAAGAAACTCCCTGGTAGGCCAAAGGCCGAAGAATTAGCAGCTCACGGGATACTCAGACTTCTCCCAGGTATGATCCCTTGTGCGGGTACCTCACACTTAGTTTCAACCACCTGCACGCTTTTGCACATGCCTATTGGCTTTGACTCCATGCTCCTACTCCTACAAAACACAAAAATAATACTACAAAATAATAAAAATAAATTAAATAAACAAAAATAAAAGAAATCAGTAAAGCCGGGTTGCCTCCCAACAAGCGCCTCATTTAACATCGCGACACAACGTAAAACACTTTTTGCCTCCACCTTGAACTTATGAATTGTACCCCTAACATGGCATCCAGTCTGTGGCTATGCTCCTTTGGTGGGTATACAAAAATAAATAGGCCAAGTAACAAATTTTTCACTCTATACTTCTCGGCCTTTATACGAGGAATGTAATTTTTTCTCTCTGGCACGACAAATCCAAGAATGTAAGCAGCTTGTTCCTCTTCCATTGACTCCTCCAGAAGCTCAGATGACTCGATTTCCATGTCATCATCCAAACACAACGTCGAAAAATATTTAGAATGAGGACCAATACGCCCCAACTTTGGAATTGTGTTACTATTTATATCCTCGTCATATTTACATGCACTAGAGTCTTCAAATGTAACATTATCTACTCCCTCATATGACTCTAGAACACTCTTCCCAACATTGACATCCTCAAGAAAAATATGGTCTAATGATTGGTATTCTCGTTTTAGCTCTTCAATTTGGTCTAGAAGATTTTTTTCTGCTTCACATAACTCATCATTAAATTGTTGGGCGTTACACGCATCAACCTTTGCACTCAAATCTGCATCTAAGTTGTGCACATCCAAGCCAAACCTGTCAATATCTTGTGCAAGTTCAACTCTCTCCTTAGACCAGTCATTCACCAATTTTGTTAGAAGATAACGACGTTCCTCGTATTCCCTTAATCGTGAGTATTCTTCCCAATACCAACCCTTACTCCCATATTCAAATTCAGACCTCCCAGAAATCAGGTCATGACAAGCCCAAAAAGACGGGCCACAAAAGTCATCCGTCAACCATGCTTCTTCATCAATAACCTTACCTCCGGATATTTCATCCCCATATGTCATGTGGAGAGAACTAGAAACAGACTAAGAGAACGATCAAAATTGTTATAAAAATAAAAATATTTACTAAAAGAGAAGAGAAAAATCAAAACTTGTAAAGATAAAAGTAAAGTCTAATATAGAAAAATAGTTAATTTCTAAGTCCCTGGCAACGGCGCCAAAAACTTGTTGCGGCCAAACGCACACGCAAGTATACGCGGTCGTCAAGTAATAAAGTGACTAAAAGTCGGATGTCGAACCCACGAGGACTTGTGATTAACTATTAACTAAATTAGACTGTCCTAATTATCTAAACAAGAATTAAACCTAGAAATATTTGATTCTAAACTAATTAAATAAAGAAATATAAATAATGAACTTTGAACAGAAAAAGAGAAGATTTTTATGATATCAATGTAATGAAAACGATTTAGGGTTATGGGCTATCTAACATTCCTATTGTATTCTTCAATTGAATTGACTAACTAATTTATCTAGTTTATTGGTTAACAGGGTTAATATTGCTCATAAGAATCTGTCGAGTTCTTACTCGCCTATTCAAGCTAACCTAACTCCTATATGTCTATGGAATTAGAACTAATAAGAACGCATTTATAATTCCCGTAAATTAACCAAGCAAGGCAATTAGGTATATGTCTATCCTAACCGCGAATCCGTTCCCCGATGCCCAGGTTCAAGAATTTGCTCTACTCAATCCTATATGCAATCTAGAATTCCCACTTTCGAGTTCAATTCAAGATTCGTAGATAGTATTCAATTGGTGATCAATCAATCAAATAATTAAGTGCAGGATTAAATAAATAAACCAATATGATAAACTAAGAAATCAAAACCAATATCCCAATAACAATAGTCATGAAAGAACCACAACCCTAGAACGTGAAGTTTAGCTCCACATAAACATGGTAGCAAAACAACAAATCATACGAAGAAACATAAAAATTACTAAGTTTGATGGAAGAAAGATGAAACCCGGCCTCCACGGCGGCTCTGTGCTTGTGTTTGGTCAAAAGTTCCTCTCAAAAACGTCCTCCCTCTTCAAAATAGGTTTAGGACCCCTTTTATACAAGTTGGGACCGTGTAGGACCGAAATAACCTTGTCCCAAACAAAGTAGGAAAAGCCCCGCAATACAACATCCAGGCCAGCGCCTAGCGCTGGCCGTGGCGCTGGAAGCAGTAGCGTTTCACGATTTTAATTTTTCCTCCCCAGATCGTTTTTGCCTTCATTCCTTTTAAGTTGTATTTCTCTTGTCTTCACTTGGGAGACAAAAAAACAAAGGGTGTCCTCCTTTTGTCTTCTTCTTTATTTTGTTTTCCTTTTTTTCTTCCGTGTTTTAATTAATTTTGCTCTAAATTTCTTCATTTTCATACCACTTTATTCCTATACAATTAAAGTATAATATTAAGCACAAAACAATATAATTAATGCTCAAAAGACGATTAAAAATACTAGAATGTGAGATAACAATGGGTAAATATATGCATTTTGGCCGAACATCACTAATCTTAATTATAATTTTATCCACCATAAATTTTATTTTCAAAGAGTAAAATATTGATATGACATCTCACCTTTAGATTTTTATATTTGTAGAATCATTAGTGGTAGTGACTATTACCAACTATTTTTTCTCTTTATCAAACAATTCTTACATATTTTCTTAGTTGTTGTTTAATAATTGAGTATTTTTCAGCAATACACGAAAAATTAATTACAAGAGTATTATTTGAGTAGAAAAATAGTTCAAATATAATATAAAAATATATTATTGTGGGGGTATTTTTTCCTCTATGTTAACTCTTTATGGAGTTCATTTATTATTACTTTTATTTTTTTTAATATTGGACATTATGGAGTGGTAATGTATTGCCAATACGGTGGATTCTTATGAAATTAATTTTATTAAACCTTCCTACATATTTTTAATAATAATTTAATAGACAAAATTATATTAATATTAAAATCTTCAATATTAAAAATTAGCATAGAAGGTATTGTAGTCCAAAAATAGGTTAGTGCAGTTATGTCCTCTGCCTATGAGTTCTTTCGTTTAATAATTTAGGGCTATTTTGGTATATTAATATTATAGTTATGCTTTTATAATATAATATAGGCTCTCGTTTTTCTAAATAAATTTGGACAATATAATACTTTCTCAAGTTAAATTAGTAATAGGACATTATAATACGTTTTCGAATTAAATTAGTAATAGAAATTTTTAAGAAGTATATCATAAAAGTAATAGGGTTACATGACTAAAGTTATTTACTTATTCAAGTTTATATGAATTAGACATCCCGAAAATAATTATAGTAATAGAATTTCTAAAGGTAATCATGTAGGATCCTAACATATAGTATTATATCCTAAAACTAATAGAATTATAAGGCTAATATCTAAAATTTCGGTTATGTCCTTTTATTATGAGTTATTATGCTTAATATTATAAGGTTATTTTTTGTATTCATGCTTTTTATAATAATACTAGTCTCTATAGACGTGCGTTGCCACGTCATCTATAGAATTGTTGTCATTTAGTGAAAACTTTGTGTAAGAAATCGTAATGTTTTTAACCACATTAATATTCAGAACATATTTTGTTGAACTATGACATAAAAATTAAAGTAGTAGAAATCTAACTGCATAAATTTCAATTTGCTTTCATTCATCAAATTGATGTCATAAAACATGTGCTTGCTCCCTTATTTGTTATAGTTCGCCGTGCTTATATCTATTCTATCTTTGTTTTCAACCGAATATGGCTAGTTTTAGAAAGACATATATAGATAGGAGTGTAGATATCTAATTTTTGCACTTTCTATTTCTCCTACATTACATTGTTTTCTAGGTTTATTGTGTATGGTCATAGACTTTAGCATTAGATTATTAATTAATTTGTTAAGGAGTTTAAGGGATTGGATTAATGCCCATTTTAGTTGAGTTATGCAAAAATCAGGCCCAACTTTTGAGCCCAATTCGGCTGACCCAGTCCAGTTGATGGTTGGCCAAGACCTGGTTCAAAAAGGGCGTAGTTTCATGTTGAAACTACGTCGTTTCATTAAGTGAAACCAAGACTCAATCTCATCCATCCATTCCCTCATGATCCAACGACTCTAATTCAATGCCCTCCCTAGGTATTTAAAGCTTACAATCCCTGAAAATTGCCCCCATTTCCCCTTATTTCCTTTCTTCTTCCTCTCTTTTCACTCTCCTCCTCTCCTTTGAGACCTCGCCGCCCGCCGCCCTGCTCTGCCGCCGGAAGTCGCCCACCGGCGGCTGTCCTGCAAACACCCCCAAACTACCCCAATCTTCTCCTCTCTTCATCATCTACTCATATCCAAACACCAAATCACCGAAATCATCCTCAATCTCACCAAATCTACCTAAGTTCGAAGAAACCCTAGCCGCCGCAACCCTCAAATCTGGCAAGATTTAACCCCACACCCCGCAATACATAAATAAATGGATAGATCAGATCTATCCTTTCCTACCTGTTTCACCCCCAAAATCCTCGTCACCGCCGGCCAGCCACCCTCACCGCCGACCCGCCACTACCACCGCACCGCTCCTCCTCTGTTTTAGCCTAATTCCGACCCAAGAACACTCATTTCCTTTTGGTATGACATCAAGTACATTGAATTTGGTGTCTACCAAAATTAAATAAGTGTTCCATGGTCGGACATCCACTTCTTGGCATCTCCGACGACTTCTCGGGCTCGAATAGCTTCAAGCACGCTCGATAGGTATAACCGTCATCTCTTTACTTAATTTCTAATTTTTTTAGTAGTAATAGGTTAGTTCCTGATTTTAATTTTAGTTTCTAATTTTTGATTTTTATGTTTTGGTTGTTTCTTGTTAGTTAGAGTTTCAAGTTAGATTTATTTGAATAGTTATCTCTATTTAGTTTAGTTATTTGTTAGATTGTTATTGGTTAAACGTGATCTTTAGTGTATTAGTTAAATCGTTTACTTAGTTAATCGATTGTTTAGTTGTTGAACGTCGTCCTCCGATTGTTAGCGATGCTCGTCTAATTTCTGTTTTGAGCATTAGTTTGTGAATTCAGTTGCTTGTTCTATGGTTAGTTTGTACAAATCAATTTGTTTTAATCTAGTTAGTTTGGGTTTTAGTTCCATTTGAAGTCTTGTTTTTGTTTCGTCAATTGTTAGTTGTTTGAGTTTTTTTGGTTCAAAATCAATAGGGTGGTATTGATGTTGTTAAATTCTGAAGTTTAGATGGGTTTGATCATGACATAGAGTACTAGTAGCTTACTTTTTACTAGTAGGGTGGCTGAAATTGCTCTTTGCTTTTGATACAATAGATTTTCAGGATGTCCTATCACCTTTTGGACAACCACTGAACAGTGTTTAGCACACAAAGTCCTTTTTGGACCGACTTTTGGTGAACC